GTTTTATAAATATTGAAGAAAAATGGCCCGAATTAACATATGAACCTGACCAAATTTGACCGCATGCACATAAACCGCATAATTCAATCATTAATAGTAAAATAACCTTCGATGTTAGACCAACCACGATTTTCATGAGTTTGTTCGGCACACCCCTACCCCAGACACCACACCCACCACATTCATATAATAATATATCTCTCATTTGTTTGTCTTGAGTTTTCTTTATCAACTTATCCTTTCCTTCCATCGATCTCTCTTTGTTCCTTTTTCTTACCAACTTTACTACTGCTGCATAGATTGATTGTATGAGGCTATGAGCCTTTTTGGGTTGATGATAGAAAGCTATACCTGTAAGCAAAATCGAAAGCATTAAGCCTGCTTTCTCCAAACTCCTGTCCTTATGGATCTGCAAGGGACACTCTGTACAACATTTCTTAAAGTTGTAAAGGTTAAGGACACATGTTCATGAGGAGGTGCTTGCTAGCTAGCTAGAAGAAAAAATAAAATAGAGGAGTTGCATTACACTATGAGAAAAAGAAAATTAGTATTCAGCGACCATTCTACGAGCGAGTGACCACCAATAAAAGGTCGCAGAAAATCATGTTTTTGACAACCATTTAAGAATTATAGTCTTGAAAATTCAATCATCGGGTTTGTGCAATTAAGAACTACACACATATTCAGTCCTCATTTTTCCAAGTGTGGTCCTGAGACTGCACTGCTCTCCATTTAACTCCGCCACTGCTGGAGTTCAATCATCCAGGGGTGGCCACCCCGAGTCCCGGCCCAGTCCTCGTCTGCAGGGGCGGAGCTAGGATCCAGTGGTCGGGGGGGCCGGACTTTATTGTATAATATCCGTAAAAAAAATTAAGAAAATATTTACATTGCGAGTCATAAGCTTCAAAATTTATAAAAATATTATAAGCTCCAAAATTTGATTATCTAGTTTGAACTTTGAAATTAAAAAGTATTTGAATAAGGAAAAAAGTTAAGTGATCAATCTAAACAAAAATTCAACCAAAGTAGGAAAATTAAAAAAACAATGTTGTTGCTAGGGATTGAACCATGGTACTAGGTATTCACAAATACCAAGCAGCTGCTGCATTCCGTTAGACTAGACCCATACATTGTTACTCATTATTGCACGTTATTATTATTCTACAATAGTTAACTTCTTCAGAATTTTTAAAATTCCCGATATTTTTACACGCGATCTCCAAAATTTTCGGGGGGGCCGGGGCCCCCCCGAGACACAAGGTAGCTCCGCCCCTGCTCGTCTGGATCCGAAGCTAATATAGTCCATATGAGTTTATAGATTTTAGCTATTCGGTCCAGTGTTATTTTATAATAAAATTGTGTGTAATTAGGAATGGATCAAATGAACATATTCAAATCACAATTCTAAATTTAGCCTAGAAATTGTAGCTCCAATGATTCTCGTCTAAAGAAACACGGATTATGAAATCTAAAATTCTAAAAGTCTAAAACGTAAAAGTCTGCAAGAAATATGAGATTTGGTCCCTTGAAAAATAACTAGAGCAGCAGGTGGAAATACCGAAATAGGGATGGACACACAATACAAATTGATTAGCCGATTGATTTGTCTAGTATTGACATTGCTCGTTTCAACAACTACTATGGAGAGAACCTTTTCAACAATGGAACAGGTGGAAAATGATTTGCCAACAAAATGAGGGATTTTTTTTTTTTTTTTGCCGATTGGTGAACTATTTTATTTGAAAGAGAGTAGTATGCTATTGGTATGGATGTAGACTCCATTATTGATGAATTCACTATATTAAAATATCAACGTATACAATCAACATTTTTTTAAGGTATCTAATTTTCTAATGAAATGCGGCCTAGTGCTCTACTTTATCATGGATCCGCCTCTGACTGCAAGTAATAAATAGTGTGTGTACTGATAAGATTCACCACACCTGAGTTAAAACTTGGAAGACAACAATATAATCACAAAGAGAAACGTTGAATTATGTAGGATATCATGATCATAGTATATCCAATATCTTTTGCCATCTCATCTTTTCGTAAGGTTGGTCCATTCATTGCATGCAGAAGCAGAAGCAGAAGCAGAAGCAGTACGTTACGTAAGGAAGTTTGGGTTTAGGGTCGATTGTTGTGGCAAGAACTTATCTAGTGATTGAACAGAAATACCACATGAAAATATAATCCAAACAAGAGCAATAATTTGATTTCGGTTGCATTATTAGTCCTTTCAGCTCAGGATTTGATTGATTATCAGTTCCAAGGGAGTGGATAACACATACACATGGAAATCAATAAGCCCATAAGTAGGAGTCGTGCAAAGATGAAATGGCCAAGAAAAAAGAAAAATTAAGAGAGGGAATTATTGGATTGGAGCTTTTTCCACCTGTACATTACTATTGAAGCATGCATGCAATGCAACTTTAGTGCCTTTTTGGATAGGTAGGGGCATCCCCACAGAATGAGGAGCTAGTAGCTAGCGAAGGACGGTGGTAATTGGTAAAGTTATTGGGTTGTTTGTTTGATGGATTTGTGATAGAATTTGGATTTATCACGGGGTCTTTTTAATTGGAGTCATTTGGTGTTTCAATTCTGTTTTAACAATGCACTTCTAGGACTGAGAATCGGAACTGTTTGAGGTTTAAAGTCTATAGTTTGCTTCATGTATTTAGGTGCAATAAATTTGTGGGGCTCACAGACTTTAAAGGTACAAATCCGTGGAACTATTTGATTTTTCGAGTATGTAACTAATTTTTTTATAACATGGAGATAAATACATCTTTGTCCAATTTTCTGACTCCGTCACTCTGAACAAAACAGTGATTATTAGCCCTTTCTTCAAAATTCACATTCGATCACAAAATAATGTTAGTAATTTGTTATTTTTCAACCCGCCTTGCTCTCGATTTTGGCTTAGACCACTGATTGATGGAAAGGCAAAGCAAAATCATTTCTACTGCTTGTCAATGGCAGCACAAATCATAAAGGAATGGGAAATGTGCATGGCCTGGCCTGGCCTTACTTTCCTTAATTGACACACATTCCTTCTCCTTTACAAAACCCCTTTTCTTGGCTATGGTAAATTATTTTACTTTTTTTTTTTTTTTCTTCTTACATTTGTGTGTGGAATCTTGCTAACATATTCCTTCCATCTGTCTCCTTAATTCCCTGTCATCGTGCCCCCTCTATCCTATCCTATACTAAGTGATTCCTCATCAAAAGAAACTTTAGTAAACAAAAAGAAGATGGCCAGTAATATTCAATCGATGCTAAGTACAATTGTGTACTAACTAAGCTTTGTTTAATTAGAAAAAAGAAGACCCAATCCCTAATTAACCATGCTAATTACTAGCTGTCCATTTGAGCTTATCCATGCATGTGGATGGGGAGGCTGTGGATTGATTATCTATTAACTAAGGCATCTTATTTGCAGACTTTACAGTCGATGGATGGCACGAGGGATTTTAGGATTTGATCAAAATGGCCAGGAAGTTGAAAATACTTCAATTATTTCACCTTTTATTGTGAACAAGAACGTGTTTGGCAGGGTGGAATATGGAGATTGAGAGGCTTTTCAGTCTTGTGGATGAGTTGGATGAATAGGAGGGAGGTTTGGTGCAATGTGATGAGAGGGGTTTCCTCAAGTTAGGCACCTGTATATTAAGAAAGTTGGATGAACTGCTTTGGAGATAGGAGTCTAGAGGTTGGTTGAGATATGATGATGGACAATGCACTTAAAATTGTGATTTTGCCTCAAAGTGTTTTGGTGATCTAGAAACATTAAAATATAAGTTTTAATTTTAAAGTGTAGATTTGACTATATATTTGTAAGTGAAAAATACACTTTTATATAGATGCATTTTAGTAACCTAAAAGTGCAAAAGCGTAGGATTTTAAAGCATGATTTTGACTACATTGGTGATAGAAACCAAAAGTTGATAAAGTTGATATCGAAGTTGTAAAATCACAATAGGACATGTACAAATAATTGATTACTAATCGTGAAATGTGTTGAATGTTTGAAAATGAAGAATGGCCAATGACGATTATTACCCAATATAAGAATGCCTTTTTATATCGAATCTAAACATTTTAGATCATTTGAGACCATTAGTATTCAGATGAGTATACCTAATGATTCGAACCTTGAAAATTCGTCAAAGATATATAAGATCATGTCATTGTAAAAATGAATGAATGCATTGTTTTGAAGACGTAGCTCAATATCGAAACCTCATGTGCAAGATCTCTTCAAGTGGCTAATACTAACCCACACATAGGCAAAATTGTTTATCGTACTTAAAATTGTATATTTTGCAAAAAAAATTGGACCCAATGATTGAACTGGAATCATAATATTTTTTAAAATTTTCGAGAGAAATTAAGCGAAAGCCACTATATATGACTTGGTGTATTGTTGTTTCCTAACATCATAGATGGTGGCACATTGTAAAATTACCCAAAACAAAAATCTCTATTGACTATGGGAGTTTATGACTCATTGCCCTCCTATGGCTATAACAACTCCATTAGGAATAGGTTGTGATACTGTTTTTCGAGACTGTCTTTAGGTTTTCACTTTAATTTTGTAGTCTTTTATTTTCCCTCTGTATCTTCCCTCGTTATCTTTGTACTTTTAATTTTATGACGAGTTAATTCGACTTCTAGCTCACTATACAAAACACGTAACTATAAAATAAGAGAATACAAACTTTGTAAAGTTTTGGTGCCTAAAATTTTAACTCTTACAAAAAAGCTTACCAGATTAGAAAAAGGGTGAAAATGAACCCCTGGTCAACATCAATTTACTTCTTCTATCAAGCTAAGTAAGCCATGAGCGGCTAACATCACCGGGCACTTTGGTCACCCACCAACGCCCTGCCTCCACGTGGACTGATCGATCGTTGTTGTCCTGTCGGGCAACTCCGCCGGAAAGCGACGTCACCCGCGGGAACCTCTGTTCTCATTGCGCTGACGAACCTTTCCTTCGCTCGCTCGCTCGCTCCAACCCTTTTGTGGAAATGGACTTAAAGCTAAATTATATGAAGTGAGTGGCTGTGACTTTAAAATTCTGTGCCATTGAATTGAATTCCTCTTTTCCTTTTCGCAAGTTGATTGTAGCGTTCAAAGGCAGAGTGGGGGGACGAGAGGGAAAAAGGATCACTCTTTTATCTTGCTTCATTGTTTTGACGATTCCCCCTGCTTTACTCTGTTGCTTTAGTTTCCCCCTTCTTTCTTCAATTTCTTTTTATAATAGTATTGGGGGTTGAGAGACTCTATTTGTCGATTTTGTTGGGCGTGTCTTGTTTGTTTCCGAAGAAAATGGATGGTGGGGTGATGTTGATTCCAGAAGCTCCACAGCTGCTACTCCTACTTACTATTTATTAATAAGCCAGCACCCTTCGATTGGGTTTCCTTCAATTAGAAGAAAGATCGTTGATTTTTGTTTCTTTCCTGGACCTCCCTTCTGGGTTCTGGTGTGGTAATTCAGTTAACTGAGATGGTAATCAGCAGCAGAGCAGGAGGAAGTGAAAGATGTGAGCAGGTTTTGGCTCCATTTCTCGTCAACAGTTGAAGAAGCTAGGGCTCTGTTTGCGTATAGGTAATCGAATGTTATGAGTAGTAGTGAGTGATGATACTCTGCTGTCATGGAAAGTTGGTTCTTTTATTGCTCTTCTGAGGGTGTTTCTGCTACTTTTTCCATGGTTCATGGGGCTCTGTGGTTTTACTGTTTGGGTCTAGGGATATGAGAGGAGTCAGTAAAGGACCCTTTTTTGCTGTTTCCTTCTCTTTGTTTTCTAGGAATGGGGTTTCTTATCTTCCAATTCAGGCAAGGAAGTGGAAGATAATGGAGTCTGACACAGTTTTACAAAAGGGGGGAGTATAATTGGTAACTTTGAGAGCTGTCTGTCTGTCTTTGCCTCTCTGTCCTTCTGGGTTTCTTATATTGGGCACATAGGCTGCCATGCTACTGTGAATTGTGACTCCCCACTGATCTCCTTTTGATGATTGTTTGGTGTGAAAGGCACTCAAAATTGCAGCTGTTGTGGTGATTTTGGATACCAAAATCCATGCTGCCAAGCCTATAAGGATTCCTTTGTATGAGTGATCTGTTTGACTGTTTCCATTTCCAAAATTGACTACTTACTCAATTGGGTTACTGTGGCAGGTTGCTAGATACTTGACTCTCTATATTCCTTTGGTGAAGAGACTATGATGAGCTCACCAACAACTCAACTAGCAATCTTGAGAGGAATGGGGATCTATGAGCCATTCCAGCAGATCAGCTCATGGGCAACTGCAGCAGCTGACCCTTTTAGAGGGGATAATAATAATAACACTATCCTCAATATTACTCCCTCCCCGATTCTGCCACAGGATAACAACACTGCAGCACCTGAAAACAAGGTTCAAACTCAAAACACTTGTGCTTTTCCTTCAACGATGGGGTGTTTCTGTATTTCCTGTGTTGTATCTGACTGCTGGTATATTCATCTATTACCACAAGCAGTCTGCTGAGAATGGCTCCCATGAGTCAACTGATCCTTCCAAAAGTGACCAAGAAGCTGGAGGCGGCCGACCTGATAAGGTCATAATTCCCCTCTTTCTTAACCTTCTTTATGAAGTCCTCAGTGCATATCATTGGATATGAATTTGAGTTAGAGAAGTATGCTTCTTTCTCACCACAGACACAGAGACGATTGGCACAAAACCGTGAAGCTGCAAGAAAAAGCCGGTTGAGGAAGAAGGTACAAGGTTTATTGTGGACATATGCTGATAAAATTGTCAAAGGAGCTGATGATAGAAGTGTAACATAGGCTTAACTTAAATCACTGTGTCATGTTGTGGTTGTTCCTTAGGCATATGTGCAGCAACTAGAAACAAGCCGTTTGAAGTTGGTCCAGTTAGAGCAAGAACTTGTCAGAGCTAGGCAACAGGTCTCGCATCTCATAAAGTAAACTAATTCCCCCAAGTTGATTAACCCTAGTAGATCTGATCTCAGTGAATTTGGTTTGATGATGCAGGGTGCATACATAAACAATGGGCTCGATTTTGGAATGCCTGCAGCAACCTTGAATTCAGGTTAATTTGTGACTAAGACCCTTGTTTGTTCCACGTTATTGTCATAGTAAGTTAGAGACATTGGACTGACCACATACACAACTCAACCGAACGGTGCAGGAATCGGGACGTTTGAGATGGAATATGCACATTGGGTAGAAGAGCAACACAAACAAGTGGCCGAGCTGAGGAGAGCGCTGCAAGCTCACGTCGGCGACGTGGAGCTGAGGATGCTGGTGGAGAATGGGCTGAACCACTACGCCAATCTCTTCCGGATGAAAGCAGACGCCGCCAAGGCCGACGTCTTCTACCTCATTTCAGGGAAATGGAGGACCTCCGTGGAGCGGTTCTTTCTGTGGATTGGTGGGTTCCGTCCATCAGAGCTTCTCAATGTAAGTTCTGCACAGAAAAAAAAAAAAAAAAAAGGGTTCCTTGAGACTATGCGTACAACATATTTTTTACCACCTTCTTGCAGGTTCTGCTGCCACAGCTGGAGCCATTGACCGACCAGCAACACGCCGAAGTGTGCACCCTCCGTCAATCATGTCAGCAAGTAGAGGATGCTCTGTCTCAAGGGATCGAGAGGCTGCAGCAGACTCTGTCACAGAGCATGGCGTTGGATCAAAGCATTGGTGGAAGTTACAGGGTTCAGATGGCTGCCGCCATTGAGAAGCTGGAGGGGCTCGAATCATTCGCTAACCAGGTAATGAAATGCTAAGATTCGAATTTTCAAATTCATCAAGATGTGACATAATCTCAGATGCTACATACGGTGTTTGAAACTGCAATCTAGAAAAGAAAAAGGGTAAACCGCAAAATCTATGTTTTTTTTTTATGCATTGGCCAGGCGGATCATTTGAGGGGTCAAACTCTGCACCATATGGCTAGAATCCTGACGACGCGCCAAGCTGCTCGCGGGCTGCTTGCATTGGGAGAGTACTTCGAGCGCCTTCGTGCCCTCAGTTCGCTATGGGCAGCTCGTCCTCGCGAGCCCACATGAAACCCTTTTTCGGGTTGCAGAAGCAACAACACAAAGCATCCAAAATATGGCGTATGCCTAAATCATTGATGATCGTAGCTATGGGCTGGTGGTGGTGGTGTGTAACGCAAAGAACCCATCACCTGCTCTACGTATTCATGATGCCTCTGTTCAGGCCAGGCGCAAGCAGAAGAGGGTCTATTATGTTATTATGCAAGTCCATTTGTATCTAAGTAGTCGATCTTCTTTCCTAAGAACAAAAAAAAAAAAAGTCGTAGATCATTCCCTCTCTGTATCTGCTGCTGCTTAATTAGTTTAAGGTGTCAAAAATTGATGGCTGTAAATAGTAAGTGATGGGTGGTATCTGAGTTGAGGCAAGCAAATGTGGTTTAGGCAGTTACAGAGTTGCTGTATGTATAGAAATGGGTATTAGAAAGTTTGGGGGCAATAGAGAAGCAAGATATTATGAGGTGGTTGCTGGAGGTAATTACCAATTAGTGTTGTTAATTTGGTCAAGAGTTTGTTTTAAAGTTTGTATACCAATTATCATTCAGAATGTTTGCGATTTAATATACGATTATGCAATATCTAAATATGATCGAAATGAAAGTTTAGCATATGTGTACTTTTTTATAAATGGGTGAGTCATGTCAAGAATCAGTTGGTCCCAATAACTCGAGTTGTTGGGAGTTGTTCAACCGTGGATCATATACTACAACACTAACACGCCCCCACAAACGAAAACCACTCACAAGGGCTTGAAGTTTGCACAGGTCTGAAGACAAGAATACCATGTGCTTAATAAATTTGGGTTACTAGGATTCGAACACAAGACCTCTCGGTCACAGAAGGCTCTGATACCATGTCAAGAACCAGTTGGTCCCAATAACTCGAGTTGTTGGGAAAGGTTCAATCGTGGATCATATACCACAACACTAACAAGTCACACCATTAACAAGTCTAGCCTCTGTCAATTAAAAATGATATATTTAGATTCCGGGGTCGTTTGGATGAGTTATAGAATGTGGTGTGGTATTTGTGTACAAATGATGCATATTTTGAGATTGTGGTATTTCAAAGTTATTTGAAGTTGCAACGTGGTATTTTAATTTTATTTATCTTGTTTGGGTAAAAATGGGTTATTTGTTGGGGTATTTCCTCCGGCCACCGCCTGAAAACATAGAACGAAGAAAAGCATGAGCAGAGGCCGTTGGCGGAAACCCTCAACTCCACATTCTACTTCTCTAAATTGTTGGACAACTTACACACCTCCTTCCTTGCCACTGAGACACAGATAATTCAATCAACTTTCTACATACCACTTCTATAGAAACCCCCAAATTCTCCATATTCATGCAATTCCCAATTCTAGAAACACAGAATCAAAATAGCCAGCTTCCAATTCATGCAACAGATTCAATAACATACAATGGAAACCTAGCTCTAGATTGACCGGCTGTAATTTGAAGAATAAATAGAAAAAGGAATTCCAAGGCCAGACGAAGCTTTTCGCTCGAAACCCGCCACCATTCGCCGTTCGTTGCAATCCACTTTCGTTCGCCGCCAAGGAATCCGCCAAGGCCAACGAAATCCACTTACTGTTTTCGCCAACGAATCCGCCTTCATCCGCCGTTCGCCAACGAATCGCTGCTGCTTGTCGTTCTCCGTCCGCCGTTGTCGTTCGCCACCAATAAAACTCACCGATGCTGCTTCCGTTCGCCGACAACGAAACCTAGCCTTTCACCTACTCTAATTGATCTGCATGAAACAAGGAGTTCAAAGGTAGAAGAAGAATAGAATGTCCCTCGATCGATTTTGTTTTTGGGCTAAAGAATGGATTATTCGAAGAGAAGAGGAAAGAACGCAGGCGAGAGGAGAGAGGGAAGGCGCAGACGGCCAGAAAAGGTGGGTCTATGCGTTATTTCGAAATAACAGCACCCCCTGGTGGTATTCTAATTAACGCGTTTACGCATTATTTGAAAATAACCCGGTACACAATAACTCATCCGCAAAATAAGCACTCAAACAAGTTATTTGGGCCCAAATAACTCATTGTGAGTTATTTGGACCCAAATAACTCATTGTGAGTTATTTGGACTCAAATAACTCATCAAAAACACCCATCCAAACGACCTCTCCATGTTGTTTGTACGATGCACAACACACAAGGACAATTTATAAAATTGTGATGTAATCTTAGAAAAATCTAGGATACTAGAACTTGGTGTAGTGTTATGCCATCATTTTTTTACCACACGAGTTTTTCCTTTTATGGGAAAGTTCCTCCATTTCTAAAAGAGATTTTCACGTCTATGAACCTACATTCACATAGTAAGTTATTTGTTGAAAATCCAGCATAAATTTTAGGGTAAATACAATTTAATATCCAAATCTTTCATTTTAAACAATATAATAGCCAAACCTTTTCGAAAACATTCTAATATCCAAATCGTCAACTTTCCGTTCGTTTGACCGTTAGTTGACACTTCAAAAAAGCTTTGTTTAGGTGAAATTGTCACAATACAACTTTGTTTCTTGTTTTGGCATTGCAGATGACTGAATATTTAGATATTCTATACCATTATGGTGGAGTCATGGACTTCTCGGGTTTGAAACTACGATATGTTGGTGGTTTTTCAGAGAAGATATCGATGGATATTGATGAAGTGTCGTACTTCGAACTTTTTTGAAGTGTCAACTAACGGTCAATTAGACAGAAAGTTGACGATTTGGAAATTAGATTATTTTCTAAAAGGTTTGGCTATTATATTGTTTAAAATAAAAGATTTAGATATTAAATTGTATTGACCCTAAATTTTATGGGAAGCTCTTTCGTGTGTACATTTGTTGAAGCATCTCGTACCTTTATGTAGTATCCTAGAACATATTTAATTTTGGTGCTCTTGAGTAGGGGTGGGCAACGGGAAACGGGTTTTTGGGTATACCCGTACCCGTCCCGTTTTTAAGGGTTATGGGTACCCATATTACCCGTAATATTATAAACAGATGGGACTTGAGATTGTATATTCTTAATATGGGTACCCGCGGGTTACCCGCAAATACCCGTTTGGGTAATGTGGGTACCCGTTACACCCATTCAATACAATTGCTGATATGCATTATTAATTATTTCACCAAAAACTGCGTGCTACTAATTGGAGCTACCTAATTGTATTTGCTGGTATGCATTATTAATTATTTCACCAAAAACTGCTGCTAAATGGTAATTAAAAAAAACAAACGTATCAGATGATATTGTAAGGTACACCTTAAATCCTTTGATTCTGACTCTGGAACAAATTAAATGATCTTAGTTACTTATTACAAGGTACGTAGAATTGTGACATCATCAAACACAGTTACAATAACCCAGAGCAGATATGAATTAATCTACAAAAAAACATGCTAATTGATCAGTGCAAAGTAATTAATCTGTAATGGTTTTGAACAACACCATAAAACATGTTTATCAATTAGTACTGTAAGACGTAGAAACTTTACTAATTGTTTATCAATTCGGGATGCGTTAATTGTCACTCAATTCTCTAGGCACTACTGGGTTTAGTTTGTGATTGGAACTGATTTTGATCAGGAATGTTATATTGTTGTTGCTGCTTTCATGATGATTTCCTGTGGGTGCAAGAGGCCAAGTGGAGTGGGCTGGTTATGGCTGGTAAAGGGAGGAATATGTTGCATTCCTGTTGGGGTTTACATTCTTGATGAAGTTCAAGTAGTACGCATAGTGGTGATAATTGTAGTTGTTGCTACTTGGATGCTTGCTGCTACATCATTGATTTCATACTGCTCTTAACATTATTTCCAATTGCAGCTCATTTACAGCAGCAGTGCAGCACACAGCAGCAGCCTACAACAGAAGGTAGAACTGCAGCAGAAGGGAGAACCGCAGCAGAAGGCGACCAGTTCCAGCACTCCAGCAGCTTGTAGAAGGACGAGTAGCACAACAGCTTGTAAAAGGAATAGTAGCAGCAGCTTGCAGAAGCAGAAACTTCTTGATATTTTGGTTGTGTTGAATGAAACTTCTTATTTGATAATTTGGTGCTTAGAATGATTTATTTCTATGCGTTGTGATTGTTCATGAATGTGTAATTTGTAAACCAAGTATTTTTGATTGTGATGGATTTTGTGTCTTGTGATTGTTAAGCAAGTAAAAGTTAAGTTTAAACTTTTGTTAAAATTTTAGTGGTTTAAACCAGTGTTGTCAAAACCGGACCGGGCAGCGATCCGGATTAGCTAGAGGTTTAAGGTTTATCGGATAACCGGCGATTAACCGGTATATAACCGGTCATAAAACCGGTAACGTACAAATCTTTCAATTAAAATAATCATACCTTAGTTGTACATTTTAAAAGTGGTAATAGTTTTGAAATTATGAATTTTGTATCTCATATACATATTCAATTAGTACAATTCAATAATAAAAAGTCAACCATAGTGCTTATAAATAATAAAGCGTAATTCTTGGTGGAGTTGATTGGGTTTATTTTTTATTTAGAAATAGATGTAGGCAATTGTCGAAGAAGGGAAAAAGAGAGAAAGGAACAGACAAATTCGGAAATGGAAAAGTGGTTTGTTGCTACTTGCTGGGCTAGGATTTAGGAATAGAAGTAAATGTTCCCTTTCCCTTACCATTTTTTCTTTTTATTCTCTTTCTTTTTTTAGTTTCTTACGTTAGGTAAGTTCAGATTTTTATAAAAGGAAAGACAACTTTAAAGGTAAAAGTCATCAAAACCGTCGGTTCGGGTTTGCCGGTTCTGCCGGGTATCCGCGTGAACCGGTTAATATCCGGCCGGCCATATTCAATATCGTTTTTGCACTGTCGAGACCGGGATCATGAACGGGTCCGGTTTTTCCCGGTCAGACCGGCCGGGCCGGGCCGGTTTTGACAACAGTGGTTTAAACTTTGGGTATTTATGGGTAGTATGGGTACCCGTGATCCGTCCCGTACGGGTAATGGGTACCCATTTCCCATATGAGCTAGTTTGGGATATGGGAAGGACTTTGACCTCCAAACGGGACTGGGTACCCGTTTCAAACGGGACGGGTATCCCGTCCAGTCCCGTTGCCCACCCCTACTCTTGAGATTGATTGTCAATTTGTCATGTAGCAATAAATCTACATTACTTATATGGCCACTTGCATGCTTTGATGTACATTTGATGCTAAGTTGGATTTTTCTCCCCTTTTTCTAATTGATATAGAGTTGGGGCTAGAAACTTTTTTCCCCAGAATTCATAATTCATGGCCCAAAACAAGCAAGCTCAATTTCTAACTAGATGGAGTTCTTCCGTCCGTCCATATTTGGGCTGTGGAAGTAGATGAAAAAAGAATCCTAGAAAAGGGGGCCCAACTTGGACTTGGACAAACTAAGGACTCACGGCCCTATTCTCTGATTAGCTCTCATGGAGATTATGGACATGCTGTTGAGATGACTAACCCACTACTCTCTAATAACCATCCTTACAGCCCCAACCAAACCAAACCAAACCAAACCAATCTGATTAGTGATTAGGGTCCTGGCACACGTTGGATCCAGATACAGTCTTACATGTTCATCATTCCCAACGATCAGATTATGTGCAACGTGAGATCCGACAATCGTAGATTGCGTTAGCATGACACTTTCATTGTAAGCCTGATTAGCATCAAGCCGGCATGAAGAAAGAAAGATCATCCAATAATTGAACTATGTATGATCTTTCTCCCCAACCCAATCAGATATTTTTTGGTGCATTATTATATATAACACGATTTGAATATGAAAACACTATTGTAAAACTTGTTATAAAAAAAATGAAAAATCCACATAAGGAGAAAAGGACAGATGGGGAAGAATAGATCCAAGGAGCAATCAGTGAGCTCATGCATGGCTTGGCTTGGCTTGGCTGGATCAATAATACAATACTCTACTAGTACTAGCAGGCTAGACCCTAGCAACCGTCCATTGTCTCTGAAAAGGATGGATCCAACGGCTGCTATTGAAACGTCGACGTGAACAAGGTGCTGACAGCTTACGTGGCTTACGTCGATAGGGTCAGATGATTCCATTGCACCAACCACTCGCTGGATACTGCCAAGCATTAAATAATGCATTTTTAAGTGGTGGGTGGTGGGCTGGGCCTGGGCCGACGGAATCGGATTGGATCCCGTCCCACCTCCCAAGGGCCAAGAAAGATTCATTTCTAGTCATATTTAATTTATTATTAATTCATTACCGTCCTTTCCCGCCCGATGCGCTGCATCGTTGAGCCTATGGTCCAATACGGTCCCGCCATGTGGTAAAAAGTACGTGTCCTTTTATCTTTGTTTCTCTCCGGATCTGGTTAGGATAATTTATTGAAATTCACTTGGAGAATCAATTTCCAATTTACAGTAGCAACGAGATTAATTGTTGTTTAATTGGTGATTTTAGCATTAGACAAACTACCTGAATATGAATTTGTTGCATAGCTTTGATGTAAGTTGATCAGCTATCTTTAGCTGCAGTGGATCTCCACTTGATTTTAGGTAACTAATGTGTGGAAAGTAGGGAGGGGTGGACAAACGTTCGGTAAATTCGATCCGAACCAAACCGAAATCGATTAAATCAAACCAAAATCAAAATAATGCTATTCGGTTCGGAATTCGGAAGGAAAATATGGATATTTCGGAAACCAGAGTTCTTTCAATCGAACCGAATTTCCGATCGAAATACTATAATTGCAACCTCCAAATGGTGGATTTTTATATTTGTAGTTGTTTTTATACTTAAATATTTGAAATATTTTAATACTAATGTGTTGAAATGTTTGATTTTATCATTGATAATGCATATAATTGCATATTTATTGTTTATATTAGGGGTGAAAAATAATTTAAAAGTGAGAAGATACAAGTAGCCTCATAAATTCGGTTTTGTGTTCAAAACCGAATCGAATTATAATTCGGTTTGAGATTTGGGAGAATTCGGGGACCCGTTATTCATAATTTCGGTTCGATCGAAACCGAACCGACCGAATGCCCACCCCTAGCTGTCAGAAGATTGAAGCATCGGAATTTAGAGGCCGTCTGCTTGGTGCATTTGCAAATGTAAATTTTTGTCAAGTATGGATATTTGAAAATGTAAACAAAAAAGAAAAGGGTTATTACCAGTGTTATTAAAGCCGAACCGAGCCGCTCGGCTCGACCGGTAAAACCGTCACCCAGTCACAAAACCGGCTTGGCACAGTCAAAAAGTCGATCCGGGTTTATGTAGCTGTTGGCGAGTGGCCGAGGCGGTTAAAAGCTCGAGCCGCTCGTCCGGTTTTTGCCATTCAGCCGTTAAATTTAATTAAAAAATTGAAAATTGAAACAAATAAAAAAACGTCCGGCTCTCAAACTGAATTCTTATTTCCATTTCACAATTTCGAAGGAAAGAAGCTCTGATAAGAAATGTCCACTATTTATACTGATAACGTTTATTAGGTACCGATTCTCTAACGGTTTTTAAACGGTCTAATGTTGGTTGACCACTAAAGTGCGAGCCATTCGCATTACCGGGTCATGCTCCGGTTCGGTTCTGAGAACATTGGTTATTACTGAGTATATGAAAAGGGGAGGGTTGGGATTAAGGGTGAAATTTCGGTTAGTTCGGTTATAACTGCTAATCGATTGGTCGGTTATCGGTTAACCGAACCGTCGGCTCCCCTTACCGATAATCGATCGAAATAGGGATTTAGGTTATGGTTATCTCGAATTTCGGTTAACCGAACCACCTCCAAGACCAAAACCATCTCGACCAGCCTCCGAACACCAATCGAATTTCGGTTATCGGTTAGTGGATAATCAGCCGGTTATCAGTTTAACCGATCGGTTAATCGATAACCGGTAACCGAACCTCCACCCCTAATTAGGATGGGAGTAGTGCCAAAGAAATAAGTCATTTGCAAATTACCCATTTTGTTTTTTTGTTGACAAAAGAGTCATTTGATACCAAATTACTCGTGCAATATAGCAGGCAAACACCAGTGCTCTGGTTGTCGCTGAGGCAAGGCAGCCAAACATCTCATCGCTTGGTTGTGGGTTCGAGCACTGGTATCTCCTTCTTCTTCTTCTTCTTCTTCTTCCTCCTCGTCAACAAATATAGCAGGCAAACAATACCTTAATTAAAATCACCGTAACATATGTGGGATTTCAGGGATCGGTTAGCATGCTAACCCTTGTAAGGGGTTGGAAAAATGACACTCCTATTAATTATAGTTATTTTTTGTATTAAATTCATGTTGCATTTAATAATCTTTGGAAATTAAAAACTCATCTTAATTACATTCCTTTTTTTTAACAACCATTGTACTGATACAACTACCATTGCATGAAATGTTTATCTGTCATATCCAAAATTGTTTTCATATAACTTTTACGTCTCAAGTGTGTAGAATGTTGTTTTTTTTATTTCTTCTATCTTATTAACATACCACACTAAAAAAAACGCTGGATATAATTTTCTTAACAATGAAGTTTCTTTTGTTTAATTTTGTGGATTTTTTTTTTCTTTCAATCATGAGATATTTGGATGTTCAATATTTTCAATAATTCGCCCCAGCTAATTTCCATTTCATATGATGAGTAAATGTAGAAACCAATGGATGCCTCTTCATTTCGGGAAAGGGCAAGGTAGTGTAATTTTCGTCCATGGAGATAGTGAAAGAGACAATTAAATTAGAAAAGCAACCAAAAAAATCTCAATCAAGGATTAACGTCTTTATCCATAAAAGCCTTACGAACATGTATGAATCATGATGATATGCCATGTCATTTCAGTAACATAATAATAAATCCATTAAAGCCAGTGCAAGCAATATAGAAGGGTTAGGAATTAAGATAAACATGGTTAAAAACTTAAATTCGAATTTACAAAGTCAAATTCTTTATCAATATATATTTAATAAAAATGATATATTGTGAAACTAAAACATTGAAATTTGCTCGTCATCATCGAGTTAATTGTTTATAGTAAGTTTATATTTGATCTTGGAAATAATGCAAAGTTCATTCTCGTATCGTTTGACAAGAAGAAAGCAATGATCATCTCTTGCAATACCAATTATTCACATTTCAACTAGTTCAAAAACTTTTGGTATCATGGAATCTGGTTTACACATCAGCTTGGTTCGCAATTATATTTTCCTAATCTCGTTGTATGTTATGAACTTCTTCACATCTATTCCACTTTGATAGATATTGTATTTTGTTTGTTTTGCTAGGCCCTATCCCATTTTGATATTTTCGACAATTTCTTTTCATCTTAGTCCCTATCCCATTTGGTCTTCGCAAAAGATTGTTGATAGTTTGCGGGATGCATGACATTGAGTTTGGACTCCTTAAGTTCCTCCAGAGATCCTCAACGGGTTCTTAATTAGTGCTTATTTTGAGTTGAACCATCATAAACTAATTTTTCTTTTTCTGTCTCTTCCACTTCTCACATTATGCACTGATGATGGTGGGAATTCAACGAGTAGTTCATTTCGAATGTTGCAGCAAGCTCTCGGTAATAAAAATCCAGTGGTTCAATGAGCGAGTGATATGTTTGTTGATAGACGCATTATAGGAGTGGAGTGGAAGTGATTATTCATTTCAATGATCAACTTCTTATATGGGTGAAATCATTTTCAAGAGTTAGATTGTTTAACTATATATATTTTCACGAGATAATGTGGATTTTAGAAGAAACTTAAGTGTTTTACTATGAGCTTGGATCGAAACTAGCGTGATGTCTTACCATTGATTTTCTCGATCCACCCGATGGAGGAAGAAGTTTGAAGGAAAGAAAGTAAAAATTATCTAAGTGATCTAAGAACCACCATTGTTCCAATGGGATCCAAAAAATGATAAATCCATCTTTGTTCACTGGGTTTTAACTCAAGTGAGGGAACAAATTTCACCTGGGACTCCATGGCTAAAAAGTTAAAAACCGATTTCAACCGGCAGGTTAAGAAAAGAAGTGATCACAAACAACAGGGAAAAGCCACCCTCCCTCGAATCGATCCCCTTGTATTCTATATAAGCGGGGAGAGCCTCCTTCCGTCTTCCCCGCATCTCAAAGCGCCTTCATTAACAAACAGGGCGTAAGAAAGAGAGAGCTTTCTGCAGCAGCGCCCGCCGCCATTTCTGTTTGGCTTCTTCCCTCCCTCCATACTCTTGGTTGAAGGGGAGTGTGGTGATGCAGCAGAAAGGGAGACTCACAAACCGTAGATCCAGGAGCTTTTCTCGGGCCCGAATCGCCATTCAGGGGTACTAGCCTCACACCAGTATAATTACTCTTCCCCCAAAACTCTCGGACAAATTTCCAACCTCCACATTCCCGGCCCGCTTCCCATCTCGCTCGTTAACGAAAACCCACCGGAAAAAGAGCATCAACAATGGCGGCCAATGGTGCAGCACCTGGTACGATTAATCAGTTTTACCTCAGTTTTGGTTGAATTGTTTGTATTGGCGACATCTGAGATTGGACTCCTCTGTTTTTTGTTGTTGTGAATTTGTAGTGGTGGAGCGTGAGGTTCAGAAGAACTACTGGATGGAGCACTCCGTTGATCTGACGGTGGAGTCCATGATGCTCGACTCCAAAGCTTCTGATCTCGACAAAGAAGAACGCCCCGAGGTTCGATCGTTCTATACGCAATTTTTTCCCCACTTCCTTTTAGTGATTTTCTCGGAGCCAGTAATTTCCCCCTGTTACTGTTCATGCTTTCGCTTTCACTGCTGTTTAGCTGCTTAAGCTTTGTTTTTTTTTTATCAAATTTAAGCAGTGATTAGACGTGTCATTTTTAATCTTAATGCTACCCTAAATGGAATCCGCGAAACTGTCAATATCTGAGTTTCAGTGCTTGATAATTCACTAGAGGGTTATCCTTTATGATCGTTAATCTGGGGAAACAGTAACTACTGCTAATTTTCTTTAAAATTCGGTCTTTGGCTGATCATTGAGTAATAAGCCTAGCAGCAACTCGCAAAGCTCTGTTTTTTTATAGCTTGGGTTCTGAAGCTTAACACCATTCCTGATTGTTAAAAGCGTGTTTGGTTTTAATTTTTGAAGGATCCTCGGGCTTAATCACTCACTGTCATGAACTTCAGTTTTGGGTTTGGTGGTGTTGATTTGAACGATTTGGATGTATGGGTTATGAACAGGTACTTTCTCTGCTCCCACCCTATGAAGGCAAATCAGTGCTGGAACTTGGAGCTGGCATCGGCCGTTTCACCGGAGAGATAGCTAAGAAGGCTGGCCAAGTCATTGCTTTGGATTTCATTGACAGCGTGATCAAGAAGGTGCGGTGTCTTGTGTCTCCTCTTTGAGTACTAAGCTATTTCAGACTGGGATATGCTTGTAAATCCTACACTGCAACTCTTTGTATGTCTCTTGTTGTTGCAGAATGAGGATATTAATGGTCACCTTAAGAATGTCAAGTTCATGTGTGCTGATGTTACATCCCCAGACCTCAAATTTTCAGAAGGATCCATGGATTTGATTTTCTCCAACTGGCTGCTTATGTATCTCTCAGATGCTGAGGTGAATTTTCAGAAGGATCCATGGATTTAAGCTTGTGCTTCTTTGCCTCTATTTGCATACTGTATATGAAGACATGTTGTAGTTGGTTCTGAATTATGGATCTGAACCAGTGTTTTCTAAGGCATGTCGGCTAGCATAAAGACTGAATTTTGTGAGTCATATTCAAATGTTGTGGCTGTAGTGAGCCTTGTTCATGTTTTGATGTTATTGTGTAATATTGACTCGGACATTAGGTGGAAAACCTGGCTCAAAGGCTGATGAAATGGTTAAAGCCTGGAGGGTATATTTTCTTTAGGGAGTCCTGCTTCCATCAGTCTGGAGATAGCAAAAGGAAGTACAACCCGACTCACTACCGCGAGCCAAGATTCTACACAAAGGTTAGTATCCAGATATTGAATGCTGTCTCCTATTTTAACTTGACTTTGTTTTAGCAAATGGTCTTTATGGGGTTGCGTATTTTGGTTCCTATACTTAACTACTTGTTTAACAAATTTCAGGTATTTATGGGTAGCCATATGCATGATGATGCTGGAAATCCCTATGAGCTCTCTTTCATCGGATGCAAATGTATTGGAGCTTACGTGAGGAACAAAAAGAACCAAAATCAGGTAACAGTTTTAAGGGATCAGTTCATTTTCTTAAGGTTCTTGGTCAGATATGAAAGATCTTAACTTCAGATTACGCCCCACTCTGCAGATTTGTTGGACATGGCAGAAGGTCCAGTCCCAGGATGATAGAGGATTCCAGCAATTCTTGGACAATGTTCAGTATAAGTCCAACGGAATTCTACGTTATGAACGTGTGTTTGGGCAGGGTTTTGTGAGCACTGGAGGCCTAGGTATGCCAGTTACTCCTGTTTTTTATGCTTGTGCAGAACTTGTATATTTGGTACTTGATGAGAAGGAGTAGTAGTTCCGCTATTGAGTTAAGCAATACGTTCGGTTTGCAGAAACAACCAAGGAGTTTGTGGCAAAGTTGGATCTGAAACCTGGTCAGAAGGTCCTAGACGTTGGCTGTGGTATTGGTGGAGGTGATTTCTACATGGCTGAGAACTTTGATGTTGAGGTGGTCGGGATTGACCTCTCAATCAACATGGTCTCTTTTGCACTGGAGCGTGCTATTGGACTGAAATGCGCAGTTGAGTTTGAGGTTGCTGATTGTACCAAGAAGACTTACCCAGATAACTCTTTCGATGTTATCTATAGCCGTGACACCATTCTCCATATTCAGGTAAAGGACTTAACATTGTGGTCTCATGTTCACAGTCAAGTTCTTAAAGCTGTCATGTTTATCTGGGGAGTGACTCTTCTTACACATGACTCTTCTTACACATGATTTTTGCAGGACAAACCTGCACTGTTTAGATCATTCCACAAGTGGCTGAAGCCGGGAGGCAAAGTTCTCATCAGCGATTACTGCAAGAGCGCTGGAACTGCTTCGCCTGAATTTGCAGACTACATTAAGCAAAGAGGATATGATCTTCATGATATCAAAGAATATGGCCAGGCACGTCCATCTCTTGGATCGATCATCAGACTCTTGTTGTGGCCCTTTACTTTGGCTTTTAGATTACTGATTCTTCTTTTTGCGCGGCGGGTGATATAGATGCTTAGAGATGCTGGTTTCCAAGAGGTCATAGCTGAAGACCGCACAGATCAGTTTAACCAAGTTCTGCTGCGGGAACTGGATGCTATAGAGAAAGAGAAGAATGCATTCATCCAGGACTTTTCTCAAGTATGCTCTCCATCCTCCTCTCGTGATCTTTCATTAACCGTCTTGTACTCGTTACTCAAATCTCTTAAACGCTCATATTTATGCTCCACTTCTGCTTTGCAGGAAGACTATAACGATATAGTCGGCGGATGGAAGTCGAAGCTTGTCAGGAGCTCTTCCGGCGAGCAGCGATGGGGTCTATTCATTGCCAAGAAGTGATTTCCTGGCCTGTCAGCTCGCTTCTTTGTTCTATCAGTCAAGAATAAAAAATGTCTTCCCTCTATTGTGCCGTCCGCACATCAGTAAATTAGTGTGTTACTTTATGCATCAGAATAAGATCCACCCTTCCTCTCTTCACCAGCATTATGATCATTCCGAGGTTGACGTGCTGGTTGAAGACTGGAAGCTACTGCCGAATTCGCTTTCGTTGCTGCTGCATCGTGCTTCTAGTCTGCTAAGACACAATCGTTCGTTAAGTTGAAAGATGTAGAGCATTGTAATTGCTTTGTACTCCCTTGAAAGATTCTCTTGTTTTTGCTATCAAATGTTTTGAACTGTCCCCTATTTTGGAACACTCGCAGCAGGAACATTCAAAATCAATATATTAAGAACAGTAATGGCCGTAGCAGCCTTTACTAGTTCTTCACACCACAGCTTCATCATCCAACTCCACATCGTCCCACCATTAACAGCTAGCTAGCAGAAGCCAATTACTTGAAATCCAAACTTGTACACAGAGAACAGAACAGGCATCCATTTTTCTCTCACCAGTTCCAGTTCCAGTTCCAGTTCCATCACAGGAGGAGGATATGCAGAGCATTCATCATCTGTTTTGACTCCCACGGCTATCTGGTGATCCGTTCAAGCCTTCCATCACTCCCCCGTTCCTTTGCTCACCATCCTGGCCAAAAGAAAAGAAGAAAGTGAACCTTGAAATTGAACATGTCCGAAGCGAAATGGGACTCACAGGGTTTAATGCAGAAGCATTGATTGGTTCCTGGGAAGATTCAGGCAGCCGCAGCATATTACTCCAGTCCAGAGCTGGATGTTGGCATTCTTTTAGTTATAGCCAGGTATTTCTTTCAGCCAAGACCAAGTAGTGCTAGGTTAACCTGCATCAGTAACATAACATGGAATCTGAGTGATAACTTATTCTGAAACATCCACAGTCACTATGTAACAGTTTGATTGCAGGCAGCTAACCAGATTTGAAGGGTATATCAGTATAGCTTGGTCTTGGTGTAAGTGACAACCAAACCAAGTCGAAACAGAGGATAAATTAAATTAAAAGCTTTGCTTTGCACTGGGACTGGGTGACGAATCGAGTTAGGGGACGAAGAAGTGAAGAACGGAACAAGGATCGTCTTCTGTCGCCTTCTGCTTTGTCAAAGCCGGGTCTAGTTTTCTAATTGGGCTTAGGCTGCTGGTATATGTATCAACCAGATGATGGGCCAATAATTAGTTAGGCACAACTAAATAGAATAGTGAAACAATGGGGCTTTTTCATGGCCCACCGAGTAAAAGAAAAGATTTCTAAAACAAAAACCCAAATTCCAAGTCTATCCATCTATCCGTGACAAATTGTTATGAATACATGGATACAGTTACATACTAGATTGTACCCCGTCCGTTGGTCGGTTGTAATATGATCGATGATCGTAGATAACAAATTTTCTAAGTTTAAATTCTAGTGATATTCTCTTCTTTCATATTCGTGTCATGATTATATGTTAATATCATGCGAATTTAAAAAAAAAATTCTATCAATTTTAAAAATACCAATATAGTTTCTTAGTGTTGGCCATTAAAAAAGACAAATTATTCAATTGTTGAGAAAAAAAGAAGATGAGCATCCATCATACATATTATAACATTATAATCATTGTCTTCTATATATGCAGATTGTGGTTGAAGTTAAAACAATAGGACTCATGGAAGGGAATATCAACTCATAATAAACTTAATGACACAGTATTATAGGTATTCCAAAATGACCGGTAACATTTCATCGCCATCAAGAATCTTCATCGTTAACTCCATTGTCTTCATCATCAATAGACGCTTCTTTTTTAATAGTTTATGCGAAGCAAATTTAAAGACTAAACTTAACCATATATGAAAAATAATTTTCACAACAAAAGAATTCACCTCATTCTAGTCACAACTGTTGTTGGAGATCATTGATTATCTTCGATTTTTTGTAACCACTAAACTTTATGTGGAACTTCAACACCGATCCATTTTTTGTAAATATTCCATTTCTTCATTTAATAAGATATAAGGGAGAGGATGTATTATTCTTCCACTATTTTTAATAGCTATTCAGCATTAACTCTTAAAATCCAACATTGGAGACAACAAACTCATGTTAAAAAAAGCTACAACAATTTCATGTATAATTTGGTTGAATCCACAACTAAAGTAGGGTCCTTTGCCCGAGAGATCGACCGAGTTAGCTCGACCGAAGGATATATCTTGATGTGTTAAATATTAAAAATGTTGATAATTGAGATTCATTATTTAGAAAGCAATATAAGCTTTATTGAGGATGATTCCTAAATTGACTAAGTTTCACGAAAAGATGTTATTGGGACAATGAGTATGGGCCTAGGGTCAACTCAAGCGGGGAAGGCCCAAGGGAAATTGTTAGAAAGGCACAAAGGTGGGCTATCCAGGGCCCAACAGGAGAAACCGAAAGAGGCCCATGGGGGGCAAGAGTCTTGGCCGGAGGGTGCGTGTTGAAGGGCCCAAATGGCCAAGGTGGCACGTGAGACAGGTGAGACCAGACACCTGACAAGAGGCGCATAGGATAAAAGACACCCAACGGTCGAAAGTGTACGAAAAGCTGGCCACATGATGTCATGCACCTCAAACTCCTGACGAACTTGTCAGGTGGTCGAGGCGCATACGCAAGGGTTGTACGGCGCATTTATGGCGGACCTGACACTAGGCGAGAGCGACGGATACCGGTCGCTCCTGCCCCGGGTATAAATAGTGGAGTAGGTAAACCTCATTACTCAGTTTTGCTTCTCTTACTAGAACTGTTCTCTACTTCTCTCTCTAAAAAAGGAGGGTTCTCACTTGGGCGTCGGAGTGCTAACGGACCTACCCGGTCCGCTAGGCGCTTGTGCGTGTAGGCAGGTGCGTGACAGGAAGCGCATTGGAGGTCGGAGCACGGAGCGGGAGGAAGAAGGCTTCCGGGCATAAATAATTGGCACGCCAGGAACGGGAATATAACCAACAAGACGCATGGAGATTCTCTGGTCAGGCGAGCAGGAAGGCGGCGCTGAACCGCAAGAGCACGGGACGGAAGGTACCAAGGAGGCGGTAGAGCATGATGGAAGGGGAAATCCGAGGGTCAAGGAAAGCGCACAGATGGAGGGCGCTGCCACGGACCAACTCTTGGTCGTGCGGAACTTAGCTCTCAAGTCTCGTTAGAGCGCTAAGTCAGTCTTGCTCGTATGCACTCAAACTCACAAGTATGGAGAAAAGCTCTAGAGATGGAAACTCTCAATTTCTGGATGAATGAAAAGTGGTGGAGAGGGCTCCTTATATAGGCATCCTCTCCACTAAGTACAATGTATATGGCCGTCATAAATGAACGAACCTAGAAGTCCCCCCATACATGAACTTGCCCCATACATGAATGTAATTAATAAAGGTGCATGAATAAAAGATAGAAAAGGGGGATGCATGTACATTGGTGCATGAATCGGAAGATGCATGCATGTACGTGCATCCTTCTAGAATCTTCCGCGTAACATTCTCCCCCACTCAATCTCGCGACGCCCTCGTCGCGGACTCTGCATGAAATGCCTCGATCAAGTCTTTGTGACGCCATAGCGAAAGCTCCTTCTCCCAAGTGATGTCGCTTTCTGGCCGCCCCTTCCACTTGACAAGATATTCCGCGTAACTTGGGTGAACACCACGCCTAGGCACAACACGATGAGCCAAGATCTCCTCCACTTCGTGCTCATGTGTTGTGGTGACGAGTGTTGGTGTCCTCGTCGACTCCTTCCGTGCTCCATCTTCCTTGTCTTCATGATATGCCTTCAATTGACTCACATGGAAGACGGGGTGAATCTCCAAGTGCGATGGCAGCTCAACTTTGTACGCCACCGTGCCAATCCGCTTCAAGATCAGATATGGCACTTCATATCGTCGCAGCAGCCCCTTGTGCACATTTTTGAGGTGCTTGAATCGATAAGGGAAGAACTTCACCATCACCAAGTCTCCCTCCTCGAATTCCAAGTGACGCCGCTTCTTATCTGTCCACTTCTTCATCTTCTTCGTTGCTCGAGCGAGATAAGACTTCGCCAACTCCATCTTCTCGTGCCACCCTCGTGCAAACTTGTAGGCAGATGGGCTATTGCCCTTGTACCCCGTCGTCACCGTATTAGGTGTCAACGACTGTTGCCCGGTAGCCAACTCGAACGGGCTCATGCTCGTGGCTTCACTTCGGTGTAAGTTGTAGGAGAATTGGGCTACATCCAATAACTTCACCCAATCCTTTTGGTTGGCACTCACGTAATGCCTCAAGTAGACCTCCACCAAAGCATTGACCCGCTCGGTTTGCCCATCCGTTTGAGGATGAAAGCTCGTGGAGAAGTTCAGATCGGAGCCCATCATCTTGAACAACTCCCTCCAAAACTTGCCGGTGAAGCGGCCATCTCTATCGCTGACGATGCTAACCGGGATGCCCCAATACTTCACAACATGCTTGAAAAACAAGCGGGCTGCATCCTCGGCCGTCATGTCTTTGGGCCCCGCGATGAAGACGCCATACTTCGAAAATCGGTCGACGACAACCATGATGGAACCACACCCTTCGACTTTGGGAAGGCCGATGATGAAATCCATGCTAACGCTTTCCCAAGGTCGTTGTGGAGTGGGTAATGGCTCCAACAAGCCCGCCGGACTCCGCTGCTCCATCTTGTCTTGCTGGCAAACAAGACAAGTCTTGACGTAGAGTTCCACGTCGTCCTTCATACGAGGCCAATAGTAAGCCTCCTCGATGCCGGGATGACCAGCCCACTTGGAGTCGTGGCACTCCTTCATGATCTCCCTTCGTAGGTTGTCCCACCGCGGCATGAACACTCGCTCGCCTTTAGTCACGATGAGTCCGCCTTTCATCCAAAATCGCCGAGTCTTCCCTTGCTTGATGTACTCGACCACGGTTTTGGCGAAGGGGTCGTGCCCAAAGCCTTCTTCCATCCGTTCCTTCAAGGGGAATTGCGGCTGGATGGTGGCAAGTGTGCTCTTTCGGCTAAGAGCATTGACAACAAAGTTGGCTTTCCCCGGCTTGTACTCCAGCACAAAGTCGAACTCCGCAAGAAAATCTTGCCACCTTGCTTGCTTGGGCGTGAGCTTCTTCTGTGTGAGGAAGTAACTCGTCGCCAGATTGTCCGTCTTTACAACGAACTTTGACCCAAGCAAGTAATGCCTCCACGTTCTCAAACAATGGACCACCGCCGTCATCTCCTTCTCTTGCATCGCATATCTTCTCTCGGCCTCATTGAGCTTGCGGCTCTCAAATGCAATTGGGTGTCCCTCTTGCATCAACACTCCACCGATTGCAAAATCGGAGGCATCCATTTTCATTTCATACGCCTTGGTTGGATCGGGAAGTGCTAGCACCGGCTCCTTCGTCACCGCATCCTTCAAGGCTTCAAATGCTTCACAGCACCGATCCGACCATTCCCAAGCCTTGTTCTTCTTTAGAAGATCCGTCAAGGGTGATGCAAGAGCGGAGTATCCCTTGATGAATCTCCTAT